GAGTGTAAGCTTTTTGTGGGACCTGTGCAAGACAGCATATGCATGTTGTAAAGCTGGAGCAGATATTTCATCCAGTCTGATCTGATGCAATTACATCCAGCTGGTAGGAAAGTACCATCATGGGTTGGTTAGGAGCTGCTGGGGTTCAGTAGCTTCAAGTTAGGGGTTCAGTAGCTTCAAGTTATAATGTACATTAGGACATGAACTAATCTCCCCTTACATTTTACTTTTACAATAGTCATGATAAACAGAACATGTAAGAATCAAACCTTTGGTCTAAGAGCTTATTTTGTGCAATAAACCAAAAGCCAGTGGAAAATTCTTCTGGGTTTTTGTTGAGGGAGCCAAGGTGATGCTGATGTGCATTGGTCTACAAAAACAGAGCATTTATTATTTAAAGTGACTGCGCCTAATTTACCAGGTGCTATTGGTGTCCTTAATGTTAATTCAAGAAAAAAATAAAATAAAATAAATAAATATATAAAAGAGAAAATCAATCACTGCTCTTGACTGAATAACTTAGCTTTAACAACTATTAATCTATATTTAACTTATGCAGTGAAGAAGATGCAATGTTATTTTACATTTGATTATTCAGTTTCTGTACTTGAACACCTAAAATGCTGTTTTAACTTGTATCTTTGTTATATTTATTCATTTGTTCTTATTTACCGACTGTTCACTTTAATAATGTTTGAAATTTGTTAGGCTAGCTCTTTTTGCTGTGGTACTGAAATTTGAATCGAGAATTGTAAAATTGAACCGGTGTCTAAAATGTTGATGTCATATAAGCTTATTTATTAGAATAAAAGATAACATGGGTCAAAAACAATGAAAACAACTTTTTTTAAGTAAAAATTTGAACCACTAAAATTAAAGCTTTAAAGGGATCATCGGATGCAAAACTCACTTTTACATGTTATTTGAACATAAATGTGTTTTGGCAGTGTGTGTACACAACTACCCTATAATGATAAAAATCACCCAGTGGTAATTTTTTAATCTCTATAAATTATATCCCCTTTTTCAAATCAGGCCGTTCTCAGCTTCTTGTCCATAGACTGTATAAAAACATGGACGCAGTGTCCGTGACGTCACCCATAAGTTTCTAAAGAGCGTTTTTGAAGCTCAAAGTGGGCGGAGCCGGCGGTCGCCATCTTGGCAGCACGTCACTCCCGGATAATCGAAAATGGGCAAAGAGGCTCCCGCCTTCAAAACAGAAGCTGGTTGCTGAAACCACGCCCACCTAGCTCGATGGTGGTGACAGCAGCGGCGATCCGCTTGTCTCTAAAGTGGCCACGACCTTAATTATGCAGAACTTTAAGGCTTAATATAATTTAAACGGATGAGTTATAAAAAAATTCATCCCCCTCACAGTTGTCATGAAGGGCAGAATTAGCTATATAGACCAAAACCACTTTTTGTACCAGGCTGTAAACATATTTTTTTCTGCTGTTAATTTGGGCATTTTAACATGGCAGGTCTATGCGACTGACTCCCTTTTGGAGTCAGCCTCTAGCAGCCAGTCGATGAATTGCAGTTTTAGTCACTTCCGTGTTGGTTTCACGAGAGAGACCAGAAGGTTGCCGCTTGTTCTTGTCTGTGTGATGTCACACAGACCATGGTCTCTCCCATGATTGTTGATTGACACGGCCGTCTTACCTTAGACCTGCCCTGAGTGAGCTGTAACAGTCCGACCGCCATTGTTTTGATGCCGGAGCAGGGACATAGATAAGAATGTCTCCATAGCGAATGAGGTGTTCTGTTGTTGGATGTAATAATGAACATAGCAGTCGTCATTTACTCCCGACATCTGAGCCGCTGAAGACGCAGAGGATTAACGTTACTTTCGTTTTTGAAGGGAATGCGCCCTCCGATCTGCCTAAATGAGTCTATGATCGCACGAATCATTCGTGATCCAGCTTCATCTACAGATTAAGTGAGTATAAGGGTTTTTATGAATCTTTGCAAATCGCCTTTCCTAATAATGCTAGTTAGCAAGTTTCGCGGCTAAATGTGGCTAAAGTAAACAGGACGGCTCCTCACCCCACAGAAGAGAGGGGCGGGGCGAGCAGAGCTCATTAGCATTTAAAGGGAAATGCAACAAAACGGGTTGCTATGAAAAGAGCTGATTTTAACAAGGTAAAAAGGTTTTTACTACCATTGAGAAATTTTAACCAACGTATGTTATAGACTTTTCATTAAGAATCACATCAACTTGTGGAAAATTGGTATCCGATGACCCCTTTAAAAAACATTTTAGTTTCTTGAAATAAAAGTTACTTGAAATAAAATATTTCATTGTTACATGAAATAATATAAATGTTAACTAATAAATTATTTCAATTTCTTTTTCAGTTTCTTTCAATTTCTTACTGTCATAAGAAAAAACATAGAAAAAGAAAAAAAATCTGGAAGAAGGGGGGCCAAATTTCTGCCTCGCATACCCCCTTAAAACTCTTTATGGCGCCCCTACATCCAGCCTTGTTAAAAGTGAGGAGAAAAAAGTTAAATATAGATGAAAAATCACAGAGGTGGTGCCTCCATAGCACTATGATGGCTGGTTACCCTGTCAGTGAGGTAATATATAGTTTCTTTTCTCTAGATTATTGGGTCACACATCTTTATAGCTTTACTGATTGTTTGCCAATTAATGTTAGAACACAACAGACCAAGCAGAACACAGTTTAGAGATGATTTATCAATAGCTATTTTCCATGTTGTGAAATCATTGTTTATGTAATATAGTGTTTACATATTTTGTGTTGTCCCTTATTAATGCAGAGTCATCACAAAATAATAAGGATTTATGATGATGCTGTCCAAAACCCGTCTTAGCCTGGGGCGTTTCCAAACTTTTGGACAGCAGTGCACATATATCACACTATGAGTGTCGCCCACACAAATTTGCCAGTCCAATACACATTACACAGCATTTTATATTTTAAAATAAAAATTATACATTAATTATAATATATATTATAAAAATACAAAAACATAGTATATGTTGCTTTTTGAAATTGTGCAAACATTAAATGAGACTGGAATTTGAATTTATACTGGAAAAGAAAAGGTCCAACAAACACTAATGCTCTTGAGGATGACCTTCACATTCCATGTCCCAGTCAGAAAGCCTCCCCAAAAATGTGTTTTAGGTTCAAATTTACAGTATTTCTGTCAATGGCCACTTTTCACAATCCAATCAATCCCGCTCAGCATTTTTTTTCTTGTTTAATACCATGTTTCATTTAGTAAACCTTTGCCAACAAAGAGGTCAAATGGGTTGCAAACACTCTTTCATCTTGACGTTAACAAATTAAACTGTTGCATTCATTAATCATGAAAAGACTTGCCATTGTCCATTTCCTCAGGATTAAATGTGCAATTGACTATATGGATTAGAGCGAAACCAACACTTAACTAGTTTTACAAAGCATCAATTTTGGGCTTTGACATCAATTACAGACACAGTACAGACAGAGTTCTTTGGGATGGATGGTGATTACAACTAGTTCTGTTAAATAATAGTGCTTTCACATTGCTCTTCTTGCCTGTCTATGACTGACACCTTAATTCACTACATATACTGCTGAGTCAGGTCTTAAAACAGCGGTGAGCATGGCATAGTCTCCGAGGAAACATTTCAATGTGACACCTTCGCATAAAAATAAATAAATAAATAAATCTTCTAAAAACCTTTTTGGTCTTTTAAAGAGATTTTCGGTTGAGCACAGTAAAAAGCACTCATAAAACGAACAAAAATGTTTTAGAAAATTGCCTTCTTAATTTGAAAAGCCATTTGAATAGATTGTCATTGTTTTTTGCTTTAATTGGCATATCTGGCACAGACCATCATGTGTGATGTACTTATGTAACAAAACGAGTGGCAAAGATGAATGCAGCGCTGAGTTAACGTTACCATCTACCGTCCTCAGGGACTTCGAGACATCACACACAAATGCATGCACACATACACTACACACTGATATTCATTAGACATGATTCATGAACTTACACACTGCACCAGTGTAATAATGGCACACCAGAGACACAGGCTACAACACCACTCCTGCACTGGCCATTGTGTGATATGTGCACTTACACTTGGCCACAATAATAATAATAAAAATCATTAAAATCCTGCATGCTTACAACAGTGGAACCTCACATCTGTCCTGTGCCAAGACTCTTTCGATTGCATAAAAATAGACTGAGGTATTGAAATTCAGGAATGGCACACACAGACTATAATTAGGATCCAATCATCACTCTACTCCATTCACACTGTCATTTTAATAAGTGTTCAACAAATACGTGTCTTTCAACCTGTGCATTTTGTCTAACCACACATCTTGCAATGTGTATTGCTTGTGATTTACTTGTAATTACAATAATTGAATTTATGAGTGTGCTGTGCAGTATGACTTAGCTTTATTTATGGTCTGTTTCATAAAACATAAGCCAATAAAAGCCATATGTATTTAGCTTACCACACAGTTGTCTTCAGACATTTGCAAGATAGGCTATTTATATTTGTTGACACTAAATTACTTCACTAATGGATAGAACTGTTTATAAAGGGGCATTTTATTATTATTATTATTATTATATAATCTATTATCCTATTTGTAACATTTTGAATAGTTTAAATCTAATCAATTCTTTATTTTCCATTCTTTATTTTTATTTCTTAAATCTACTTATCCTGTTCACCTTATCCTCTTATATTTTACATTAGCCTATATTCTATAATGTTACATTCAAAACTTTGACAGAAAGTTCTGCCGACTGAATTCATGTGTTGTTCAGATTTATGCAGTATGCACATAACTTATGAACAAAGCACCCTACAAACAAAACGAGACGGTCCACACAGCATGTGTTTCCATTCATATTCATAGATTCATCGTTCAAGGCCAACACAGCGGGCAGACAACCGTGACTTGAGCTCGACACCATTACTATTGCATTTGTTATTGCGTGTGTTTTTGAATACCTACTTTTGTGGCTGGAGTATCCGGGGTTATAGCCGTAATAACCGGTGATTCGTAAAATCCGATCCTCGATGTCAAGGACCCCGTTGGCCGTCACTTCAGGCGCATCCCAGCGGTTGTTCACCTGCGGAGACGCCTTGCCCACTAGGCGCGGACTCTTGCCCGGTAGGTGCTCCAGGCGAAAGCAGGACTCCTCTCCCGAATTCTGGATCTCCGTGCTGCTCATTTTACCTCCGCACGGGAAAAACGGCAGCTTTTAGGTCACAAGCGAAAAGCATACGAAACCCGCTGTTGAGAGCATCACCCGAGTCAAATTCCAGCACACATTGCTTTGACGAGTCGCTCAGGGTTGTGTGAAACTTGCCCAGCGTCTTTCATGCATCAGACAGCAGGGGGCGTCACGCTGCTCCGAACAGATGGCAGCAAGCACTGAGAGGTCCGATTCACTTCGACGAATCGGTTCGTTCGGACGGTTCATTTTGGTGAACCGTTTAATAAAAATGATTCACTGATTCGCTTCAGTTGTCGTCGATTTATTTTTGTGGTAAAATGCATTTTTCCATATTGTATTTTTACTTTAGCAATGTGATTTGATTGTGTGATTTTACAAAATGCGGTTTTGTTTTTGGAATATATATGCCACTTCACACTCACAGTTTTACTCCTGTGATTTACAAACGCGATTCGATTCGAATGAATCAATAAAAAGAACCCGTTCAAAATAACGATTCGCTCGAGATTCGGATATCACGGTAAAGTGGACGCAGTGGAGTGCTGTCGTTATTACAAAAGAGTAGACACGAGTGCATCGTGGTGGTGCCGTAATCATGTTACTGCTGGCCTGAAATATTTTAGCATGCAATGTTGCAATGTGCCTTTCAAGGCATTGCAGTGACAAGGCATATGAGCTTAAGCATGTCTACTGCATGCCAGCTAGTGGTATATGAAATCTTTGGTTTAAAGGAGTCACTGAAATATTCAACACAGAAAAGGTGGACATAAATAAGTGGATATGACAGTGACCAGGGTGTTATATATTTTCTGGAAAACATTTGGAATAGGTTTATATCCTATAGTGTAAAACTGAGATAGACAAAGATATAGACCCAGATAGCACATGTAGCTACGTCTGCAAGATGTCTGTTAAAGATTGTTTGATCAAGAAAGCATCTGCTGAGTACAAACATCTGACAGACATCTGTAAGTTGTCAGTTTTATATACATTCTACATCATAAACATCATAAAGACATCTAATAGACGTCTATTTGACATCTGATAGGAAACGTCCTATAGATGTAGTACAGATGAGCAAACACTCTAAAAAATACGTCTTCCAGATGTACAAATGCAGACGTAAAATAGATGTCTCCGTGATGTATGTGTGCTATCGGGGCAGTGTTGGGAAGGTTACTTTGGAAATGTAATAGGTTACAGATTACAAGTTACCCTACTTAAAATGTAATAAGTAGTGTAACTTTTCAATTACTTTATTAAAGTAATGTAACTGATTACATTTGATTACTTTTTGATTACTTTTCTAAATTTCTAATGTTTTCAACTGTTAATCATTTTCAAACATGTATACCAGGCAGGGTTAAACTTACAATATGTGCTCAACACTGATAACTGATAGATAGATAGATAGATAGATAGATGGGGTGATGGATGGACAGACGGACAAATAGAAAAGTGAAGAGACAGAGTTTGTTCATTCTGTGCTTGAATTGCTTTCTCTATTTTTTAGTGCACATATGTTACACTTTAATACTTCAGTGGCATGTGGCTGTGTCTCTATTTATTGTTTTTTTCGTCAAATATTTATGAGGCTTTGAGAGTGAGAGTGTAGTAGCTCTGAGATGGTGCCACAAGGCTATTTTGCCTGACAAAATTAGATTCAGCTAGCTTCACGGAATCTGCATTCAGGGATATTTAGTTAATGTGAGTGATACAATAATGACTAATTCATGCTTTAGCTATAATCACAGAGGCACAGTTGTCGTAAAAGTGTTATTGCGTCCATTTAGCCACACAGTTTGGACCTCTCCCATGCCAGTAAGTAAGAACACACTTTCAGATCTAGAGCAAAGCACTATAAAATGCCTCTGAATGCAAGTTTTGAGATGCTGGTCTCAGCTTAGAGCACCTCCGCTCAAAACCAATGCTTCCTGCACAAAACATCCAATAAAAGTGCTGAGGTCCAGGCCAAACCCAGTCTAATATCACAAGCCAAGTCTATTTTAGTGACTCCTCCATGGTTCTGCGGCAAATCCTTAGCACTTTGTGTGAAATTGATCTCCAGCATAGGGAGGAGAATTTTCTCACGGTGCTCTCGGATTTTCTGTGAGAGAAGGACACATGCTGAGTTTCATATGTGGCCCAATTACAGCGCCAGACTCTATAAGCTTTCCTTCCCTCACTCTTGGCTAAACCAATCTGCTCTGTGCGTTGTTTTGTTTCCATTTGTTCTCCTTCCAGCCTGCTATGGCATTTCTGTCTCTTACCATTCTTCACACTTCTTATGGTTGATTGGTGGCCAGAACAGTAACTTATGACACTGAAACCCTGAACTTTCCAGCTCAGCTTGGTTTTTGTAGAGCCAATGAAATATAAAGTAATTTTCAGTAACACTTTATTTTTACAGTGCCCTTATTATCACATGTTACATGTACTTACTATAGTAATAACAGTAAATTATTCAGAATTACAAACAAATAATCCAGACGGATCACACCCCTATATTGATCCACTTTCAACAGTGTTTCTCAGAAATTGCTTTCTGCACCTTTAATTGATATTACTCTGTACTTAATTGTATACACTGGACACCTTAAAATACAGTGTAACCAAATTTTGGTGAAACAGAAAACATACAATGCAATAACATTTATTTTAACATTTTTAATTTAAATCATTGTATTAGGGACCCATTTGGATTCATGTTGGTTTAAATATGGTTTTGAAAACATTTTAATCCATGTTTTAAAAAAGATTTAAAGTTTTTCTAAAAATGTCTTGTGGGTAAACCTTTGGGTAAAAATAACATATTTTCATATCCTCAGTAATTTTACTCTAATAGCAATGTATAGGTCCTTTTCTATGCAATTAAAGTGAAATAATTTTTGTCATTTGCCCTCTGAGGGAAGGACAAACAAAATTCATCATCAGAAACAGACCAGACAGACATTCAATGCGTGACTGGAGCCTGAGATGTCTCTCTGGCTGCCGCAGGAAGGATATTCAGTCAGAGAAAGAGAGAGAGACTATTGTAATGAGATACGGAAGTGACTTTACATTGATTCCAACTAAATTAGTGAGAGAGACTAATTACAGAAGTCTGAGATTACGCTTACATTTTCAATTTGATTTTGCTTGTCGGCATTCTTTTTCTCAGTCCATCAGATCGTAAGTAAATAGCCTCGCTAAGGCAAGCGTCTCTACTACTGTTGCTCATACTTATGGTTAGGAATTTGTTCTAAGGCCCTCACACACTCTCAAAACAAGTGCAAAATGGGGTACAACAGCTTGTCACTGGGGCAGTGTACCTCAAAGGAACACCTTTGTACTTTCTTTACCCCCTAAAGGGTGCATATTAGTACCATAAGAGTACATCTTACTACTCTAAGGTACTAATGTGCACGCTATATGGGTAAAAAAGGTACAAAGGTGTCCCTTTGAGGGTACTGTTTTACCCCTAAAGGTACAGTTTTTGCACATTTCTTCTGACAGTGCACTGGTAGTAACACAACTCTGATGTGTAACCATGCATTGTGCTACAAACATGACTGATACCTCAAATTAAACATCTTATTGAGGTTAGGTATGCTTTTACTTTTATAAGCAAACATGATTTTTACCTGACAGATGATAAAAAGTGCAACACTTAGAAACTGCATACATGCTACTAACCAATCAGAACACCTCAGCAGGACCGTAGTGGGCACACTTTGTCATAGGGCAAACAATATCTTTGGAAAAATGTGCCATTTGTGCAAAACTCTTAAAACATACCTATACGTAAAATTTCCTGCGGTTTCCAGCTGAAATGAAAACTATACTGGCATGAAAACATTAACAACATTTATTCCATTTCACAAAATGTATTATTTTACGGAGCAGATTATTAATTAATAAAGACTAGATGATTTCATGAAGATCTTTGCACAGTGCTATGTTATGACCTTAAAAACTTATACCATAGTGCACGATTTGTAAACTAATACATTTTGATGTTTGCATCACATAACCAACTCTATATACAGCTCTGACATAATAAACTTGCTCGGTAGCTCACCTGATACCGAATTGCACTTGCGAGGCGGAGGGTTTGGTATGAGTCCCGTGAAACATGAGTCATGATAAAAGAGCTCAGTGACTTGTATAGGAAAGCTAAAATGGCATGGTTGCTTCAGCTCACACGTTTTTACCTCACATTTGCTTTTGTTATTTTAATCGATTAGGTTTAATGCAGGTGGTACGTTATTTTCAAATGCGATATTGCATTAACCTTTTAGTATCATTCACCAGACATTTCATTTCCAAACTGCTGTGATACATACAACCAACATATTAAAACTTTGCCAAATTCATGTTTATCTAGCACCACCTATATTTTACTTTGAACGTATTGTGAAACATGCAAGAAACAATGTAATATCAGAAACAATGCAATATGCAGAAATTTCACCACAGGCACATTTTTCCAATGAGCCTGGGTTGGGCCTGGGACAAAGTTTCTAGTTTCCCTCTTGACGATGACCTTGGAGATTGGCATTAACATGTTACTTAGCTAACATCATACTCAAATAATACATTCTGCAGCATAATCTATGAATCATATCAGGCAAGATTTTGCAACTTTATACACCACTGGCACTCAAATGGATAACCATTGGCAGCTAAACCTCAAATTTGAGTCCCAACATTGCCACTCATCAAATCACAAACAAAATGAAAACAATTATTTTATATATAGATATACCTATCATTATTACCATTATTTTTCTCAATTGTTTTCTCAATTGTAGAAAAAGGCATAAAGCAGTTAAAAGGCACTGTGATTCTTTTTCAAATATTGCTGACCCTTCTGTTCTGTAAGTCACAGCATTAGATCACGACTCTACTCAAATTATCAGCTCCATCAGCTCTAAATTTGCCCTTCTTTTGCACTTGACTAAAACGCTAATATGAGGAGATTAAAATTCAACTTTCATTGATTCCAGGAGCCAATAGCATATTCCTCGGTCAGGGCTATCATGGTTAATGAGGCAGGTGGCTGTTAAGCCTCTATATTTAGAACTGTCAGGGCCATTGTATTGGATAAGCCATCTTTTTA